ATGTAGTGTGGAGCGGATACGCCGGGAAGTGCAGCGGTACAGTTGCGAGTAAAATGAGGACCGATCGATCAGTTACAGGGATATGATTTCACTCAGCGGCCGTCGTTGGTTCACCCTTGTTCTTGTTCCATTAAGCTGAGCAAATCAGCATGCGGTACACCGGCAGAAGAAGCAAGAGGCTTCAGGAATTTTCTATCCGTGTTGCCGACCAATAGCGTGCGAGGCCGGGATAGGAAGCGACTGCGACACCTACAGGGAAAAAATAATAGCGAAGGGAAGCAGCCTTGCCGTCATGTACATACAGTTCCCCCTCCTTAAGTATGGGAACGGCAAGGTCAGTTCCTTTGCTGTTGTATACTGAAGATGTTTAGATTTCAGATCAAAAGATGAATGTGAGTCAGGACTTTAAAAGTCCAGTTTTTATTTCATAGTATTTACATAAAAATGTGTTAAACAACTCAGGACAGACCAGTGCCATCCAGTTTTTAAGCGAGTTAAAGTATTGGAACAGAAATTATGAGACTTTGTAATATATTTAGACTATACTTTGGTAGAAGTTAATCTCGGTCTCATCAGTCGATAAAACTTTGTTCCAAAACGTTTGTGGTTTACTGCTGTACTTCTTTGCCAAATTCAATCTGACCTTCCCAGTCTTTTTGCTGTCGTTTGCATCTTGTGGTGTGTATGGCCTGTGTATTTCTTCTCTCAAAGTCTTCTCACAATGGCTTGTAATAACTTCACCCGCGCCCTGTGGAGGTTGGCACTGATGTCACTTAATGTCATCTTTGGGTGTTTCCTCACAGCTCACAATGTTTCTGTCATCAACTGCTATTGATACCCTTGGCAACCTGTTCAATGTCTGTTGCACAAAGAACATACTGCAAACAAAATTGACTTGACTTAACGCTTCCACGCATCACAAACACAGAGCGCCTAAGTATTACTATACCTCCCAATATAGGTATGCCATGAGCTCAACGTGAACAATCAACACAGTCTGAATTGATTTCACATAAATATTTTTTCATCTTTATTGGTGAAACAGAAGCGGCATTTAACATCAGAAGAAGCCTTGGAGCTGGCGAAAATTTATTCTTCGTTTTCGTAGTCAGCTGGATTCTTCCTCTTGCTCTGCTTGTGAACACTGTTGCCCCATGAGTAGGTCAGGTACATGAGGGTCATTGCTGTAATTGAACATATGCACCGGGATATGGAATTTTAGTGCAGTTTTTGTGTCAGGCTGCAATTAACAACAATACTTTGTCACAGTAACATCAATAGAAACGTCATTTAAAACAACAATTTGTCTTCCAAGCAAAAAAAAAAAAAAAAAAAAAAATTGAATCATGAAATTTTGTATTAAGATTATACTTCAAATTATGACTTGTGATGACACGAAGAGTAGAAAATGTGCAATAAGAATTAAAAATATTGCCATTAGGTTTTTTTTCCTGTCAAATATGACAGTGAACTCCGGCTATATTGCGGGACAGCATTTGCGCCCCCACTATATTGCAGGTTATTAAGCAATCGTTTCTGGGTTTTTACAGGTCTTTATTCTTCACAGATGAGCCTGAAGTTAGAGTTCGAGAATAGTTCGAGATTGTGCTCCGCTGGATTCCACTGGAAAAGATGCAGGAAAATTTAAGAGTATATTTTTCTCCTTTCTTTCAAAATGTTGCTGCTATAAATTGTGAATTTCTCCATTGTGAGACAAATAAAGAAGATATTATATGGTCTGGTTAAATAGGTTGGTGTTTAATTCTACAATGTTTAATTGTGGCAGTTTTACAGTTAAGTGTCAGTTTTCCAGTAAATTCCAACTAGGATTGACAAACACCTTGAAGCAAGCACGCTTGGCTATTCAGGGTGTACTGTATTCACACCTGAAAAGTCCTTTGGTTCGCTTGTTTGGTGCGGACCAAAAGCGGACCTTTTTATTTATTTTATGTTTGATGCAGTTTATATTCACACTGCACTTTTTGGAAGTGAACTATATTCTGTAAACACATCAACATGTGTGACAATCGGCGCTCTCATTGAACAGAAATGACGAGGGCCACACCGAAAGCACAAAACCAGAAATTGAGGAAGACATCCAATTCTGACATGTTACATTCTTGCTCTGTGTGTTTCTGCTGTTATTAGAATTGCAAAATAAAGAGCAGCTCATTCAATGTACGCTTTATGACGCTATGTTTCAAAATTTTGAAACAGCGTGAGCGAATGCCTGCAGTAACCTGCAGGAGCAGGTGCTCGACGTGCTTTGCCTCACAGCATGCTGGTAGCAGCGCGGCTAGAGAAAAGACAAAGGTTCATGTATGATCTACATTCACTACGAGCTAACATTTCCCATGATGCCGGGCTTGTTAAGACCACTCATATCCTGTATTTGGTGCAGATTGGCAGTGGTTTGTATTCAGACATGTAGCGAACCCGACAATGTGTTAGGAAGCTTCTTACCACGACCACCTCAAAAAGTGGGTCTCGGTCTGGTTGTTTGGTCCGCACCAGGATTCATTTGTGTGTATTCACACCTGCATAAGAGGTCCGGACCAGCATGGTAAACGAACCCTGGTCCATTCAAAGTGGACGAAGCAGTCTGGGTGTGAATACACCCTTAGATAACCGTCCAAGCGAGTCTTCATTTTGTTTTTTTAATGCCATATTACACGACAGTCTCCTTTCTTGATACCTAGTTCATGTGAGAACAGGTGATAGTGAATACCTCAGTGTATTTTAAGTTTTTGTGAATCTTTCTGAATTTAATCATGTATCATATGTGTGAGAGAACTATGTTTTTATATGGTTATAAGATATTGTGGATGGGTTTGGAATCCCTTTCACGACCGCATTCTGTCAGAATATTATGCCACTCGCAAACTAGCTTGTAACTCCTAAATGTCATACAACTACATATATGAATTATAAAACACTTCTGGGCCATGAATTACAAAAACAGATCAATGGTAAAAAGCAAGTACGGCTGTAACTTAGGGTCTTCTTGTTCTGTGTCATGATTCGCCTGTCACTCCTCAGACTAGGTCTTTGTGCTGATCTGTAACCTCAAAATGAATGTCAAGGCCATCATAAACAGAGGACTCTTAGTATAAGTGTTTAAGTGTTTTTTTTCAAATATCCAGTAATATATACTATTATGTTAAAAACACTGAAAAGTGTAGACAAAAGATACTCACGGGGCGCAACTTTGAAGAAAGATGATGTGAACCTTCTCCAAACGTTGGGAATTCCCTTGGAGAAATAATTGGCGAATGCCTTCTGCTCAAAGGGGGACAGACTGTATGTGATGACATGCCTGACCCTGGCCAAATTTCCAAAGTGGCGGCCCATGTTGATCTGAATGCCAACCAAAGGGGTCGACGAGCTGCGAAGGAGACAAGGCTAGAATTTGAGGATATGATTTCAATGTGAACACAAGAACAGAAGGAATCTAAAATATATTAGTCCTAAAAGAAGCTAATTCATGCAATGAAGTAATTATACAAACTCCAAAACCATTTAGTTTGGGACATAGTGTAAAATGTGTTGCTGGCATCAAATTGAAAATTTGTGAACATTTGCAAAAAATAACATCTGTTTGAACATTAAATATATTGTCTTTGTTGCGGATTCAATTGAATATAGGTTGAAAAGGATTAGCAAATCATTGAATTGTGTTTTCATCTACATTTTACACAACGCTCCAACTTCAATGGAATTGTAAATACGTTTGTACTCGCACAAGAAAAAAACCCATCACATTCCATCATCGTGACATGAGCGAGTTCTCTGACACAAAATGTGTCAATACAGTAACGAGCAAACTTTAAGACCGTTTTTGAAGCAATTCATCCGTATAGCGCAGAATGATTGGGAAAAAACATAGCAACCACGCACGATAAAGTGTGACCATTAGCCTCGGTGCCCGGGCAAAAGTACAATCATTAGACCTTGAACCATGTTCTCTAATAGCGTTAAAGGAAGCGACTCACACGCAGACAAGTAGCTTTTTAATCTGGTGATCAGTGTTATTCTAGATTTCCATCGAACACAAACTCACAAAAACTGTCGTATTAATGCGATGACATTGAGGCTTACCGCTTTCCTGGTCGTCTTTTGCTAACAACTCTCTCCTGTTCTTCCTGTTTGACTTTATGTAGACGGAGCACAATATGGAATGCTTTACTGCCCTCTTCCGGCTTGGAAGCCAAAGACTCGCTCGCAAGATCACTGCAGTACAGTATTCAAGTGGATTACAGTAATGTACTGCCGGGGTGGAGGTACAGTAGTGTTTTGTTCCTCTTTAATTTAGTTTTTTTTCTATTTTATGGAATTATTTTTCTGTTCTTGTGCTACCTTTTCTGATTTATTCCATCTTCTCTCTTATTTGGGAGCTTTTTTAATGCAACATGTATCCATTGCTCATATCTCCAACTAATCCTGGACAAACGCGACTACATCAAGCCGATCTGAATGAACCTCGCAGTGTCTTAAACTCTAAATATCTAAATAAGACTTATGAACTCTGAAAAGGAACAAACGTGTATATTGTTATTGGCCTCGGTGGTATTCCAAAAAACAGAAAAAAGTTCTGAAAAACAGGTGTAAAAAAAAAAATAGAAAAATCCTGAATAAAAAAATTGGGAAAAAAAATCTTAAACATCGAATCACGAAAAAAATGAATTCAGAAAAACAATACTCCCAAACAAAGAGATTCCCCCAAATCCACAAAAAAATCCCACCTCCCCCAAAACAAAAAAAAACTTGGGGGGGGAAGGAAGGAAAGTACAAGCAGAAAAAAAAATGCTCAAAACACCGAAAGAATTATTAAAAAATAATAAAAATTACCCATACACAAAAAGGTGAATGTAATATGCTTGCTGACTGCACACTGTCTAAAAAAATATATATTTTAGCATGAACGCAATATTCCTATCATTTATTTGCCCCCCAAAAAACTAACAAAAAAAATCTTGAAACCAAATTGATGCATGCTGTTATTTATTTCCCAATTCTTCAGAGAATGTCAACATTTTCATCAGTTTGAATATCCAGAAGCTGAACACAGACACACAGTGAATTCACATAATTTGCATATACACACATGCCATGCATGTAGTCACATTTAACCAGTACAAACTCATAGGTATGCAGTCACTTAGTGACCAGAAGACAAATACACACGGACACCTTGAAAGCTTTCATTCTGGACATTGTGAAGACAGCCACCATTTAAGATGACTGTCTGTAATGCTCAGGAATAAAACAATATGTAAAAGGTTTAAGATTTTGTGACAGATTTTTCCTTTTTTTTGTTATTTTTGGTCCAGAACAGGGCAAATTAATTCTTACTGTGTTAAATTAAACAAAAATGACAGCCCACCCACACAAAATAAGTTAACAAAAACTAAGGTTAAAAAAAAAAAAAAAAATTATATTCTTTACTAAACATTTTTTCCCCATCAAGTGTTTCATATCAGTACCCTATTGCAAAGAGGAAACACTGGATGAATTGTCATCCTTTCTAATAAGGCATCAACAAAAAAAAACATTGCTTAACTTACTTTCCCAATGTTAAAATACATTGTTGAAGTAAACACACCTGCTCTAGAACAAACATCTTCTATGCACAATGATTTTAACCACTGATGAAATCACAGAGCCTGGTCAGAACATCTTTGAATATTGCGGCAAAAGGTTGCGGTAATGTTATCATTTTGAAACCGATGAGAATGCGGGGTTTATTTGTTGGTTTTAGCGGCAGGTGCACCTAGTGGCCACCATGTCTTCAAACTCCTTGTAAACGTACGAACCGTCCTCTTCCAAGATCATGACGCTCAGGGGGCTGTAATGGAAAGGAATGCACGATGGCCTCGGCACAGAGGAGTCGAGCTTCTCATATATGATGTTTTGTACCATAGTGTGGACGGGTGAGCCATAGATGAAGCCAACTGTCCGCGGGCAGATGCCTCTACAGTACCTCGGGTTATATTTGGGGGGGAAAACGATCCAGTGATCAAGTTTGAGCTGGCTGAACCGCACTCTGAAATCATACAAGGCACAGTAACTTGTTGGGAATTCCGAGCTCGAAAGAAGCTCTGGCAAGTGGCTGTCCAGGCTTTTATCACCTCGTTTGGTTTTTGCGGATGCCCTCCTTCTCCGCCTCTTGGCTCGAAGCACTCGATGGGCTTTGAAAATCCTCTGTTTGTTACGCGCGTTTGCAGAGGTGGATGGCAACATCTGGTGTGACACTTTGCTATCGTCATGAAGGTAAAGCAGCAGCGGGGGGGACCCAACACTGATTTCCAAATGGCCTTTGAGTCCAGTGTTTTCGGCTTGTTTCTCGTCGGGGCAGATGACACTGATGTGCAGGTGGACATTGAGTTTGGGGAATTTTGAAGGCGGCAGAAGCAGTGGAGTGACGTCAACTTCCACCCAGTTCCCTCTTCCAAGGCCATCGGCGGCGGAAGTGACGTTTACAGCTTGGCGGACGCCGGGACACAGGGGACATTTGTTTGAGTGCTCATGCTCCTTGATGCTCAAGAAGCACACAGACTTTATGTGGGCTGAACTATATAGCAGCGTTGCCTTGGTGAGCTGCTCTTTTTGTCGGACTTGATCAAGACTGTAGGACAGATCGAGTGTGAAACTCTCTGCAAGAAAATAGGGGAGAGCAACATCACAGTGTTAAAATTACTGTTTACCAGTACAAGCACTCATCAATACTAAGTGATATCACTTGTTCTTTTGATTACATGCCGGTATTTAAAAAAAAAAAAAAAAAAACTTTATACAGATAATTTTCAAGACAAAAGGAAGAGCGGTCACCCTGCAATACAGAATCCAGGCCAAACTAAATTACAGCAGTTTGAATTGAGGATTTGTAATTACCGGTAATTATCAATTGCAAAATAGAACTGACAACATTAGGAGTTTTAGTCTTTGTTCAAAATAAATTGAAGTCCATAACTGTTACGCATGACACTATGAAGTTGGCAAGTGTATACTACACCCAAGTCAAAGCTCTGTGGTGCCTGGACTGCATTCAGAAGAAAAAAAAATAGACCATATCAATATACTGACTAATATAAAACAATTCTATTTTCCCCTCAGTCGATGAAAGCGGGTAAATATGTAAAAATAAGTAAATATGCTACTTTTAACTTTTACTTGAGTCATATTTTAAAGTAAATGAACTCCCGTGAGTAAAATTTCTGCTATTCTGCATGGGTTATGTCAGAGAAAGGAATTGACAAACGTTTGATGAATGTAGCATTTATCCTGAGAGCATGTTTGAACGTACTTGCAGGATAAATACTACACATGTAACAAATTCCAATAATGCCATGGGGTATTGACTTGTGCATTAAAAAAAGCAGTTTTTTGCATTTGGCCTACATTATACCAGTATGTTCAAAAAGTTAACACTGTTAATTTATAATGTTACGGTTTTAGTATGTCTGCAGTGCAGGATTTACATACAACATTTTTTCCTATAATGCCACGGGCTATTGATTGACAACATACCCTATGGTCCAGTGGAAAAAACATACTTAAATGATTTATAATTATACCAACACGAATACGTTCAAAAATTAGGTTAAAAAAAAGCTTATTCTTAATTTTCTGGTTTAATTGTGGCTGCAGTGCATGATTTACGTTCTGCATTTTTTTTTAGCCCATAATGCATACGCATTGTGAGAAAATGCTACGTTTGTAGCATTTAGCCTCCAAGTACGTACAAAATAAGTTTACTCCACATTCCCAGCTCCACGCTTCCATACTGTAAAACTGTCATATTAGAGGTCGTCCCCCCCACACTATACCGCTGGTGTTGTGGTTGCTTTCATGGTGCACAATGCAGTTCTACTCACCTTTAGCGCTTTTGGCAAAACATTGCTCTTGCGGTTTGATCAGTCTGACAACGTTGTAGCGTGCGCTTGCTTCGAACCCATCCTGCGCTGTGGACATTCTCTTGAACGCAGTGTCCGTCAAATACTTGATGTACTTCTGCTCAGGTTTGATTTTTTTCACGGAGGCCGGGTTCCACCTGGAGCCTCCGTGCTCAGACAGAGCTTTGAGCAACGGGGAGAAGATGGTGCCATAGGCGTATGGGCTCAAGTCGCTCCAGGAGTCCGTGCGGCTCACGGACGATCGAGCCGGCGGCGGGCGGCTGCTACTGACCAGAAGCAGGAACAGCACAGCTCGAAAACAACGAAGAGCAACTGACGTCAACATTTGCTATTTATACGTCCAAAACAAACAAGGGGAACCGGCCCGAAAACTCCAAGCAAAATCGCCACAGTGAAGCTGCAACGGTGCGCACGTGGCGCTGCTGATCAACAAGTGCAGGTGTTGCCAATTAACTGTCACGCCTATGACGTCATCAGGTGTGGCCACGGGCGCAATTTCAGCAGCTTTAGTTTTAGATTTTCATTCTTTAAATATACATTTAATAGCTCTAATATTTTTAGTTTTAATTGATTCAGGATATACAATGAAACGAATATATATTGATCAATTAAAATGTTTAATTTTTGTTCCATTTCTGCTAAAGTGCTTATGTAATGTTATGTTGTCGTTTGATATAATACAATAAACCCCTGCAAATTTTCCCCAAGAACAAAAAGAATAAATATTTTTTCAAATCCGCAAATAGAAGGTGACGACGCAAAGGCATAACTGACAGGGGTGCCCATTACGATGATCGCAATCGACCAGTAGATCAAGGACTGGTCCTACGTCGATCCGAGGTGTGTCGAGGAGAAAAAGCAAACAAACAAAAACATTTCTGTCTCTGTGTAATATATTTTTTGTGTTAATGCACACCACACCCTAATCATTCTATCAGTCTCACTTTCACAAAAAGTATTTTAAAAATAAAATAAAATAGAGCAGGTAATCTTGAACCTACGGTGACGTGTGATGCGTCACCGGAAGTTGTGAGTGCTCAGCAGTCTGCAGTTGCAGCGGGTGATCAGAGTTGTTGCGCTATATCTTTTATCCTTATCATTATTGTCATTCAGAGTTTGTTATGTACAATTCACCAAGGGGACAGGCAAAGTATGGGAATCTGGAGGGCCGAGAGAAGCATTTTAAAACGGTACGCGTGAGCTACGATCGTGAACAGGCTGCCGAAGTGCGTCGCATGCCTTAGCGTCAGGCCATTGCTCATCAAGGCATGCGTGTGTGCGTGCGTGCGTGCGTATGTGCGCGTGCGTGGTAACGGGTCGATCGCGGGAGGTTGGTCGATCGAAAAGTAGATCTTCGGTCAAAAAAGTTTGGGCACCCCTGTGCTAGTATGTAGCGGTCCACTGTCATTGTTTTGTGGCCAACTTGTGGCATTTTGCTGTCAAGTAACTATGATTAAGTGAGTTGAGGAGCTTCATTAAGACAAAAGTAGTGCTTTGTTGCCATCTTGTGGCAAAAGCTTTTGGGATGGGGGGCATTACTTATGCATCGATTGCTCTCTATTCATGACAGGGCGTCAATCATTCAATCGAAATGTATTGTGCTTTTCATAAATGACTATGTCACTCAAAGTGCTTCACATTGTTAAAAATGACAACGCCCATCAACCCCCCCCCCCACACACACATGATCTTTATACAGTATGTAAGAGCAAATGTTTGATCTGTGTTGATGATCTCATGTGATAAAGACTAACTTTACTGAAATGTACCTGGTTTGTCCCGTAATTTGACATCAAAACAGAATACGCGCAGCCTTAAAGAAAATTAGTGTTCAGCAACAAATTGACCTGTGACCAGGATGTTCCAGAAAGTTACCATGAGGTGTCCATGTTGATCAAAGAATTTTTTTTTATGGTGGTGATTGGCACAATTTATTTTTACAAGTATCATTTTGTATTGGGTCAGTTCCAAGTCAAACTGTGACAAGACTGGAACATCTTGAACATCTTTTCTTGAACAATTAATCAGATACATTTCAATGGAAATATGTCACTCGTGTCCAAGCAATAACCCAATGACAGCTCTGGAGGCTCCATCCTACTCCTCTGCCAGAGAATGGAGCCCATGCTCCTGTATCCATGACAACCGCATGCCCACTAAGAAAATGATCTGATCTACCTAACCAACCCCACCTGTACAAGTCCACTCAAAAGGCAATTGCATTTTCAAAGGATTACACTTCCATGGTGAAAACATCATAAAATATTACAGAAGGTTTATATTGACTCAACATTGAGATAGGAAAAAGGTAAGAATAAAATCATAAATAAACGCATTCCAAAAACACATACAAGAGCTTGCTTGCTCCAAGTGCTGAATTTCACATTTGTAATTTAGCTTAATCATGTTTAAGCGATCTAAAGTGTGACTACAAATGCACAGTAAGAGAGAACCATAATCAAACATGGAACGTCCTCTGGGTTTTGTCTTGCATACAAATGAGCCAAATGGATGAAAGCACAATTGTCCAGCCACTCTAATCAGTGGGGAAATAATAGTTCCGCTTCAACATTTTCATTTGTCAAAAGATTGGGCCTTTTGTTCCGTGTTGACATCCCAAGTGTGAGTAACACATGAAGTACACAGAAAAATGACAAGGAAAATAAGTTGTAACTGCCAGATAATAGTACTGCAACAGACATTGCTATGTACAGTTTGTTGACGTGTTGTTTTGGTCATCCAGTACACTACACAGAAAGTGTAAACTAGTAGAATTTTATAGTGTACTACAAGTACTAGCCCACAATTGTCACCTAGTGCACCAGTTTATCTCATTAGTAACATGTCCTACGAGTATAGGGCAGTTTTCCTACTAAAGGCCTTCTCAAACTATACAACTTTTTTTGTTGTTCACAACGGTCGCGTTGTGAGATTACTCGAAAAATATCGTTCTGCGTCTTGGACGTGGTGAGACGTCACACTACACTTCCATCAAGGATCAGTTCAGCAGTGCAGGTCTCTCGGGGGGCAGGACAACTTGCGGTCAAAGTGATGTCGACAGAGGCATTATGTGCATGTGTTCTCTGCTCAGGAAAGGCAAAAAAATAAAAAAAGAGACTATGGACCCATTTCTGGGGAGAGGGAGGTATGGACTGTCTCTTTTCCCAAAAGAACTTGAGGTAACAAATTTTATTTAATGACACCACGTTATACCAATCGACTCTCAGCTTTGCAGTTAGCAAATGTAGCATGAAATGTTAGGTATACTTTCCAATATTTCCCCTTTTGTTCAAGTCACTTTTTAAATATGTACATTGTGATTGTGTGCCCGACGTCCAGTCTCTCATCATAAGTACGAGGTGGCTGTCTTCCTATTGGTCAATGCAGAAGAATCAATCAAAAGACGTGGTCGTGAAGCGTCTCAGATGCCAGATGACCAATCGATGAGTATGTCACACTACATGGGCTACGATACATCAAGACACGACACGACATTTGTCTACAAGTTTGTCGGCTGAAAATCGGGCTACATTCGTCTCGTCTGAGGTCGGCATAACGAAGACAAAGATTGCACTACACACAAAAAAATCTCGAGTGGTTTTCCCAACTCACTCGCTGGGTAGTGTGTAGTAGAACCTCGGTCTGGATATTTTGTGTGTCTAATTTCATGAATCCCTGACTGTGGATAGTTTGACAAAAATGACTTCTCAGTTACGGAGGTGTTAAAATGTCAGGGCTGATTTTTAGTGCCAGAACCAGTCCAGTCCAGTCCACCCCTGGCTCTGACTAGTTTTTACACACAAAAAAACCCAAAAACAAATAAATCATATGCACGCTCTGAATACGGTACATAACCAATCTGCTAACTATCACTAGTTGTGCGTGACTGATGTTGCATACTTCTGTTTCCTGTGAGGCTGGAACAGCTTGCTGATCGTGTTGAGACCTTTCGGTTGCTCCCGGTAATCCTCGTCATCTGGTTTGTCCCAGTATTTAGATTGCCGCACACCTCCCACGAGGGCTCTGACCTCCTCTGACACACCCGCACCCAGGTAATGGCGAGCCTTCTTGCCGTCGTTGTCCCTCTCGTCGACACTCGCTCCATAATGCTGCACCAGTAGCAGCATGACATTCGTGTGACCGTGTATGGCGGCGATATGAAGGGGTGTGTAGCCCCCGTGGGCTTTGCTATTGACGTTAATGTGTGCCCCTCTCCTCCGGGTGATGTCCATCAGTTTTTGGACCATCTCGCCATTACCGTCCTTGGCGGCCCAGTGCAGTGCCGTGAAACCTGACATGAAGTCCTTTTTATGGGCCAGGTGGGCGTCCTGCAGGAGCATGGCGTGGGCGTGCCCCCATAGCCCGGAGGCGCATTTCACCAGCCACTCATGAGCCAGAGGGTCAAGGGGTACCGACCCACAGCATTCGGTTTCGTCAGGCTGCGTCTTGACCGGGTCATCCGCGTGACTGTTTCTCCAACTTTGCAAGGCTCTGTCTTCTTTGCAAACTGGAAAATGAGTTTGTGTTGTAGATTGTGGGTTCTCGTAATTAGGAGGAGAGGCGACTGCTACGACGGAAAACACAGCACCTGATGATCTGCTGCCAACTTGATCTCTACAAATGTTCAATACTTTGAGAGCAGTGTCTGACTTACTTCTTTGCAAATTCATGTGCGACGGGTAGCACGCATTGTTACGATTCTCCAAGTCCGGATGGCCGATTTGCAAAGTCGAGTTTGAAGAGGGCAAAGTCTCGTGCAGCATATCTTTCACAAAGTCCTGGTACCGCTTCTTGACCGCCACAAACTTCACCCCGTCCGTCTGGCGAACAACGGCCACGCTGTTGACCAACTTCTTGAACAGCTCCCTATTGTGATGCTTTTCTGCGGGCGAGCCGCCGTGGATGAGAGCGCCGAAGTGGCCGAGCAGCTCGGCGTTCCTCACTTTGCCCCCTCGTTCCAGTAAAAAAGACAAAACTGAGTCTTGGGTCAATGCCATCGCGTTGTAGTCCGGTTGCGGGGCGAGGAAAAATAAAGTCTCAGTGTAGGCAGGGATTATCTCCTCCGGATTTGTGTGCTTGAACAACCTGCCGCTTCCGGGGCGCTCTGGCCCCCCTCCCTTCGCTCGCCACTTTTTTTTTATTTTTTTTATGGTGACACCCCTAGTTGCATGATAAATACTTTCACAAAAACAAACGACCAACAGTCATTTTAAAAAATAAATTTATACCTAGAATTACTGCAACTTGCTCTCTAAAGAGAGTCAAAACAAGATCATCAATCTGTGTGGATTTCTGTCATTGAAAAGGCTGACTGTCGTATTTATTTCTTCGTGAAAGTCTTTTAATGATATATTTTCTTCATCATAATCAGAATAACAATACGAAATGTGCTTTATAACAGTTTTAAATTTTGTTTTTAATTGTATTGATTGAAGAGATGTATTTTTGTCTTGCACCATGACTAAAGCCTGCATATTTATCCCATAATAATTTGGGAGAAGACTAACAAGTAAATTGGATGAGAATTTGATGATATCACAAGTGACGAGAGTCATAATTACCCCCAAAGCTACATTAATGAAACATGAACCATATGAAGATGTGATCAAAATTAAAATAAATAGGAAAAAAATCTTTAGGAATAGAATATAATAACACTATAAATGAAAACATTCAAGTATTCAGACTTTCATTTTGGCGATCAAGACATAAATAGACACCAGTAAATACATATGATTCATAGCCGATAAATCTATGTTCATCCTTTTTTTTAGTACTGTATATCCGGTGGATATACATATTTGAATTGAATAGATAACTTCGAGGCTTGGTACCTTTCAGCCCCAAAATACCCGTAGAGAACACAAAAAAAAAATGTTGTCATCCTCAACTAGTTTTGATAAAATACAATAAAAATATTATTTGGACACATAAAACATAACTACTATGAACGACTGGTAGCACGTCGGCCTCACAGTGCAGAGGTGCAGGGTTTGATTCCGGCCCCGGCCTTCCTGCGTGAAGTGCATTCCAAAAACACACACGGCAGGTTAATGGAACACCATAAATTGCCCCTACGTGTGAATGTGATCATGTACGGTTGTCTTTTTGAACCACATCTCGTTTGCCATGGTAACAGCTACACCCAGAGGCCCTGACTGGTAAAACAGTTTGGAATTACAGCACTCCACGCTAAACAACCTCCACTGTGCACGCTGCACTGGGCTGGTGCACCAGTGGAAGGACGGCTGTCATGTCCTCCAGTACTCACGGGGTGTTGCCTCCAAGTGGCCACATTTAAACAGCAGCGTGCGTCTGTGATGAGGAGGGAGACACTTGTGACCATGGCGGCCAGCGGGGTGGACGTTTTTGCTGTGAGTAGGACCATCTATCATGCTTATTGAGTTTTCTCACTCGAGTGTCGTACATGAACAGATGGGGGCGTTTTGAGAATGAGCAATGACTCGGTGAAAAATTCGGATTTGCTTCTGCGGCTGCACTTAAAGAAATGATGCACTGTCGTTTGAAAATAGGAGACATCTTTTTTTTTTGCGTGCATAAATCCGGTCCGTGCTGCACACTGCTTTTGGACCTAGCATGCATACTGGAATGCGCCAAGAGGAACTCCTCGTTTGAATGAAACACGGGACAGCATGCGGCGACGCAGTTAAGAGGATAAATGGCAGCATAGTCAAATGACTTGCTTGAACATTGAGCAATGCTCTGCGACTTTTCCACCGTTGGAGCACTTATTCCATCCATATCATCGACTTCAGGTCTTTGTAATAACAGCGCTTGTCCTCACTGCTTAGACAATTTAGCACATTAGTGTGATGTTATTTCCACTGCTAGTGGGACTTTTGGCCACTACTGTACTGTGTAATTAAACTTTACTAATAAACGAGTAGTATAGGCCAAACAAGAAGACAATGATATCTATCTATCTATCTATCTATCTATCTATCTATCTATCTATCTATCTATCTATCTATCTATCTATCTATCTATCTATCTATCTATCTATCTATCTATCTATCTATCTATCTATCTATCTATCTATCTATCTATCTATCTATCTATCTATCTATCTATCTATCTATCTATCTATCTATCTATCTATC